TTATTATATTCTTATATATTTTTTTATTATATTGCTGCATTTGTTGCTGCTTAAAGTGCCTTAGATTTTGTGCTACTTATTTATCTACTTTATATTTCATTTGTATTTTGTGGCATTCATGTGGACGGCAAAGTAAGAATTTCATTGTACAGGAAAACACGTTTCCTAACTGTGCATATGACAAATAAACACTTAGACCTTGAACTTGAACTTTGAACCAAGTGCTTCCCCTGCACAAGTGAACACATGCCTGGTATAGACAGAAGCACGACCCTCTATTGATTTGCATGCTCTGCCCCTGCTATGCTTTCAGTGCAGACATGGTAAGTTTTATAATATTGTCCAGTGGTGCTATGACAGCCGCTACCTGTTAATGCAGAATTATTAAATTGTCAACCAAGTATATCTGAATTGGACAGGGGACACAAAGTGTGTCCACATACAGATACGACACAGTAGTTAGTATCTGCCCTGTAATGAATCTGTAAATCTGAGTGTGTTGTCCAGCTCCCAGTTATTCTTTTATTCGTATCAATAATTAAAGATAATAAACTTAATATTTTGGAACCAGGACCTGATCAAGAAGCTCCTGAAAAATACAGTGTCCCAGATTAATTTCATTCTCAATTAATGAGATATTTAATAAACATTTACTGTAGATAAATATCAGATGAGAATTGTATCAGCAAATACTTAATATTAAAATAATCAAATCGATATCTGGGCCAAAAAAAACTGAATCAGGACATCCTTCTTATAAATAAACAATTTTGGTTTCAGTGCTTTATTTTTTTCACTGTAATTTTTGACAAACATTACTCAAAAACAGGTGAATAGTGTTTTTGGTGTTTACTAATAGTGCACATTTGGTGTTCTGTTGAGTATTTGTGACACAATGATGGTAGGATGGTAGTAGTTCATGGTAATGAAGGAACTTATAACCCAGTGTGGTGGGATGGCTCACTGATGTGTTATGAATAGTTTGGAGGGCAGTGGAGAATTCTCCTTGTCCTTAAGTTGTCCTGCTTTTCTTGCAGGTCTTGTCTTGGATTCACCCAGAGTCTCAGGCCACCATTGTACGCTGCAGCCAGCCTTTAGTTGGACCTTCAGAATGTCGCTGTAAAGAGGATGAACGCTTGCTGCAGATCATCATGGATGCCAACGCCCAGTCCCATAAGCTCACTGTCTTTGATGCCCGGCAGGGTAGTGTGGCAGTCACTAACAAGGTACACACATGCATGTTTAAAAGGAAAGGTACATGCATTTTCACTGTATTTGTCCCTCTCTTTTAATTACATGTTGATTCAGACTGTTTTCTCTGCGTTTTAATTTTTCCACCTCTGCAACATGCAGGCAAAGGATGGAGGTTATGAGAGTGAAACTTTCTATCCTAACGTGGAGCTGAACTTCCTGGAAATTCCCAACATCCATGTAATGAGGGAGTCTCTGAGGAAGATGAAGGATGTAGTTTATCCCACCATAGATGAAGATCACTGGCACTCATCTATAGACCAGACACACTGGTTGGAGTACATAAGGGTAAATAACACATAAAAAAACGCAATGAAGAATAATAGTTGTTGTTCTACCACTATAGTACATTGGTTGTCTAGTTTGTTTACAATTTATAAAAATATCTAAGTTAATTATTAACTGCAGAGGGTGTATAAATTATTTTACTGGAAATGTGTGTAGCTGTTATTAGCCGGAGCAGCAAAGATAGCTGATAAGCTGGAGTCTGGAAAGACATCGGTGGTGGTTCACTGCAGTGACGGCTGGGACAGAACTGCTCAGCTCACCTCTCTGGCCATGCTGATGCTGGACAGCTACTACCGCACACTCCATGGATTCCAGGTCCACAGACCACTACGTCTTTATCAGCTTTATTCTGTAGTCTTCATCTGTAATATGTTATAATGTTTGTGTGTGTGTGTGCTTGTGTGTACAGGTTCTGGTGGAGAAGGAGTGGATTAGTTTTGGACACAAGTTTGCGGCGGTAAGGAACTGGGAGTTCTGATCCTTCTCTTGATCATTTCTTTTTTTTTGCTACCAATTTGGTAAAATAAAAACATTGTAAGAGCATTCTAAATAATCACAACCTATTTTGATGAAATGAATATAATTTCAAACAAAAGGATGTAAATCCCTTTGTAATGATTTTTATCTAGATCACAGTTATGAAATACAGGACAACTCTTTCTTTCCGACTGCTATCAGACTCCTAACCACATGTAATTCCACCTGTACTGTTTACACACTCATTTTGCATAATTGCACATTCACTGCTGAATATTTGCACTTCACGGCTCCCACGTAGCATATATTCTCTATATGTTATATTGTGTTCTTGTTGTATTTTTATTGTGCTTCCTTCACTTGCTGCTTTAAAGTGCCTTAGATTTGTGTTACTGCCTATTTAGATTTGTTTTATTGCTCATCTTTCACTTGTATTTTGTGGCATTCATGTGGACGGCAAATTAAGAATTTCATTGTACAGGGAAACATGTTTCCTAACTGTGCATATGACAAATAAACACTTTGACCTTTGACCGTTATAGACAGACACAATGTGCTTAAAGTAATAGCAAACAGTTACACTCACCAGCCACTTTATTAGGTACACCTCCACAATTGTATGCAATTCAGTGCAACACTTCTGCCTTAACATGTGTGTTCATGAAGCTCAAAATGTTTCAGTTTTTGGTAAAATTGTCATAAATGTATAAAATGTTTACTATTAAGGTCATAGTTAAAAGTGATGTTGTACTGGACTACATTATATTCAGAGGTGTTCCTACGTGTTTGTAGCTGGATTCTGTAGTAGATAGTAGAAAAGCAATGTCTCATTTTCATTAGTTAATTTTCAGTAAATTTTTATTTATTTATTTATTACTTTTGTCAGTTTCACGTTATTTCATTGACCATTGTGATCTTCTCTTTCTTTAATGAAGGGTACCAACAGTTTTGTCCACATGTGTATACCAGTGTTCTCAAGCTTTTTGAGAACTACACCCTTTGTGATGACAAGCTTTCAGGGCCACCTTAAGGAATTTACTGGCATCATTCATGAGTCCGCTTGTATGGCAAAACTACATTTACAAAGCCACATTCATATACTAGACTGCTAAACACATTTATAATGTAGATCACTGTGTTTTGCATGCAGTTACTTCTGCATTAATGTGTCCAAATTTATTTTAAGGTTTGTTTGTATGAAGCATGAACCAGTGCTACAATCTACCTGATGTTTTTATGGAAGTGACTTTAATGTAATATAGAGTTGGTTGTTACTCAAAACAGATTGCAGTCTGTTACAATCACTCTTATACACATCCCACTGTCTTTATGTTGAGCAGTAGTTGCAGAATTATGAAGACCTGATGTTACGTTCAAAACTGATGTTTGTTGAAATTTTTTTTTCTCTTTTAGCGTGTGGGTCATGGTGATGAGAACCATGCTAATTCAGAGCGCTCCCCTCTCTTCGTCCAGTTTATCGACTGTGTTTGGCAGATGACTCGACAGGTCAGAATTTTTCACCGGGCTTTATAAACCTTGATGCAAAAAGTTTCATGATCAGGCCTGAATAAAGGCTTGATTGCTCATTATCATGAAGCAGCATGCTAAAAAATATGTACTGTATCATATGCTCATCAGGATGAGACTACTCATGTGTACATGAGCTGCCACTCCACCCATAATCACTTCTCTTTCTCTGACTGCAGTTCCCAGCAGCCTTTGAGTTCAATGAACTGTTCTTGATCACAATGCTGGACCACCTCTACAGTTGTCTGTTTGGTACATTCCTCTATAACAGTGAGAAGGAGAGGGCAGCCAAGGTACATACTGCATACATTCCTCTGGTAACAAGGGCTCATGGATGAGAAGAGCCCTGTCAAATTAAGATTCTTTTGCCTTGTGCAGGAGGTGCAGACCCAGACTGTGTCCCTGTGGTCCTACATTAACAGGTAAGCTTGCTCCGTCATTGATATGAGCAGAATGAATGAAAGGAGTGGTTTTCTGACAGCTTGGTGTTGTCCCCCTACCAGCCAGCCTGAGGACTTCACCAACCCTTTCTATGTGGACTATGAACACCATGTTCTGTATCCGCTGGTTTCCTCCAGACACCTGGAGCTGTGGACCAGCTACTATGCTCGCTGGAACCCGCGCATGAGACCACAGGTACACTGCCTCTGTGGGGGGTAATGAACTATTTAAAGCAGTGATGTAGAAGTTTGGCATGTATGAACATAGGTCCAGGTACAGCATGGATGTGGTGGTTTTGGTTTAAACACATCTCCCCAAAATCTAAATAAATGGATATGAGAGGTCCCAAAATGGCCATTGTGTTCAGGTTCATTGCGAAGCTTCACTTCAGCTCATCCTCTCAGGGTGTAAAAGAAGCCTGGCTCAAGGACAATACACCTGGAGTCGTGGTCAAGTGTTGAAATGTTTAGCAGCAGCTACTGACAGTAGGAGACACCCTTCTAAAATGGGACCACAGATAGGCAGTTCATAATCTGTGGTTTTGATCATTTCTGTATAAATAATATGTATTCATGTGTTTCAGGTGCCGGTGCACCAGACTCTGAAGGAACTGCTGATTCTGAAAGCAGAACTGCAGAGGAAGGTAGAGGAACTGCAAAAAGAGGCCTATTCCCACTCCCACTCCCAGTCCTCCTCCTCTGATCACTCGCCTTCCCCAAATCACACCACAGGAACCCCCCTGCACTCTGCTGTCTGATACACACATTAAAAGACCCCTACACATGTTATTAGTGTGAGGGACTATTACATCTGATTCCTCTGTTACATTTACAGTGGAACCTCGGTTTTTGTATGCCCTACTTTTCGTACGATTCAGTTTTCAACGACTGTATTTCGTCGAAATTTTGTCCCAGTTTTCGTACGTCTGCTCGGTTTTTGTACAGTTGATTGGTCGGTTCAGCGTCATTAGTCCGTACCAAACCCGTCTGCCTGCCCACGTGACTCGGCCACTCATTTTACATTAGAAATGAGTGAAGGGAAGTAACCCCAGATTGGGCCTTGATACATGAAGTCCTTATGGAGGGGGATTTCCCTTCCAAACAATAACCTCTCCTCCTCCCTCTCCCCTCCTCGCCGTCTTCCATACGCCAACAAGAATCTTGAATAAAGGTAAAGGTGATGTTAAATGTTCATTTATCCATTTCATTAGTCATTTATATTTATTTCTCATTGTTTTCTGTATGTAAAAATATAGTTATTCTCTATAAAATGCATTTTTTGTTAATATTGTTGGGTGTCTGGAACGGATTAATTGGATTTACATTATTTCTTATGGGAAATATCGCTTCAGTTCTCATATGATTCAGTTTTCATCTGACTTTGTCGAACGGATTCATCACGAAAACCAAGGTTCCACTGTATTTAATTCAGACTTGATCCTCAGTAAAACCACCACCGGCTTGATCAGTATGTGTTTTTATTTTTGCATAAATAAATATTACATTGTCTCAGGGTTCTGTTATTCACGTTACTAATAATTGCAGTTATATTTAGTGTTTAAATAAAACAACTGCATGCTCCCTCTACTTATTTATTTGAGTTATCAGTGATCTTTAGATTAGAGTTTAAATGATCAGCTCCATCATCATGTTAAGTGCTCTGTCTCCATAAATTAGGAAAAAAGAACAGTAAAAAAATCTTAACAGAATCATTTTTCTTTTTTTTATAAATGTTTTTTATTTCCTATCTTCAGTATGTAGTGAATACCACCTCCCAGACCCCACCCCGGTTGTAAAGGCACTGTGATCCCTCACCTACTTCCCACATGCAAACACTGCCACTGTTACACAGACCAGCAAACAGAAAGTGATCCCACAGTTCTGCACAGGTCAACAGTTGCTCTTTCTCCTCTTCGCTACCTGAATACTGCCTCACTGTTCATGTTTTCCTTTATTTGTCTAACAAATTGCATTGCCTTTTCATGTGTCAAACATGTCACTGGTCTCACATCCCCAAAGTGTGAATTTCTTTTTTTTTTTCAGTCATTGCCAATCACTCTGTCCTTTACTTTTTTGTAATGTAACCTATAAATCACACTGACAACCTGTGGAAGCTTAAGTGCGACTTTTGATTGTGTAAACATAGACACAACCCCCCTTAATGAGCCATAATCACTTCTGACATTCCATTTTAAAAAATAAATGATTCCAAAATTCCAGTCTCTTTCTTGTAATTTTTCTGTTTATTTTATTGGTTTCATATTACTAACATGTACCTGTAACATATTGGCAGAGTTATCATAGTGGAATAAGAGAGAAAGCAGAGCTCACGATCACACTTCAAGCAATGAAGACTGTTCAACATTCAGTTGTCAGAAAGACAGAATTCAACACTCCTAAGCTACAAGTGTATACAGTATGCAGAAAAAAAACTCATGCAAAGTGTGTATGACAACAAGTGCACTGGTTAAGTGTGTTTGTGTTGTATATGACAGGTAGCTTTGCAAAGCCAACCCTCAAATGTCAAATTTGTATTTTTGCTGGGCTCTCATTTGTTTCACAGTGGGAACAAGATGTGACTGTTGGTTTTCACCACTTGGTTTTGAATCAGAAAGTGAGGTTGAAGGATTGCGGCTGGCTCAGCATGACAGTGACAGGCACTCGCATGTGCTGCGGGGGGAGGACAGTGTTGGATAGGATGTCAGTGTCATGTGAGTGCATCCACACAAGTTGTCTTTGCTGTAGAAAAACTCAGGCACAATTGTCATATAATACATGTTGCAGATTCCATACAGAGCTTGGACACCAAGGAGGTGTATTAAAATGCAAGCTAACAAAAAAAAAAAATCTAGATAGTATATACAATTGGTTCATGGAGCATGTTTGTAAAGAACCTTTGAAGACAAAACCTGCTCCTGGATAGGCTTAAAGTCAAGATTAAACCTAGTCCATGGCTTATGCTTTGTACATGGAGTTAGCTTGATTAGATTATTGACGATTTGACAAAAGCATTAATTTTTCAGTCCCTCTAAATTTTGTCTTAAAATTTATCCAGAGCTGTTGTCATAGCAACAAGTATGTTGGCCCAAACAGGCATATGTTAGTCTTATTCCAAATATAAATAAATGTATCATTACCTAATGTCTGCTTTTGGCCTGCATTTAATTTGCCATTTAATTAATTTTCAGACCTGTCATATGATCAACACTCAATTTAATATCTGATCTTGGTTTCAACTCTTTTATATGGTGGTTTTATTTCAAAATGAGTGCATTCTTATTCAAGACAACTTCATATCTAAGATCTGACCTAAAACTGCATTTGAAGAAGTGAGTTACCTTGATGAGAATAAACCGGATCATTTTAGCTGGCTAACATAATTTATTGTTAAATCTAAATATTTGACATTAATCAAGCTGATTCTGGCAATTACCATCCACTTCCATATGAACGGATATGCTGGTGTTGGTTTAAAGCGCTTAATGTGTTTGAAGGACACACTAAAGTCTTGAACCTGGAATTAGCTTTCTATACATAAGGTCAAGTTATATTGCTGAGAGCCTTGATTTTATAAACCGCCTCCTGTCTTCAGACAATATGTTCCCTAAACAGAACACCACTGGTGATTCTGTAGATCTGTCTTCGTGGAATCGCATACATCTGCCAACTGTCTCCCAGCCCAATGTACACAACAACAGTATCTTTTACAACATTCGAACTTGGCTGTTGTGAGCCATGATCTAAAGGAGAATACCCCACCAGAATCCTTTACACTGGGTTAAACGTGGCCAAGTAAAAAAACACAGTAAAATGACCTCCTTTTTGCTCGGTGGTAATCCAGCCTTGCGAGACTCAGTCCACATTATCTTGATGCTTAGGCAAGCATCACATCCTTGCTATCAGTGACAGGGCTGTCACAGTATTAGATTTGTTCGTATCAGTCTGGTAGCCTGCTCAAAACAGCAATGTTACAGATGTTTCTGGAGAATCAAATTTTCAAAGCAGTATCAACTTTCACAGTGCCAATAATAACTGCATGATTCACAAACTCAGTCTCAATCACTGCTACATCGTTGGTGAATTTGTATTTTTGCTACAACCCAAAGGTTTCTGCCATAGCACTTGAGGAGATTTAATACTTTCAGTAAACAGTTTGTTATTTTGTGTTTTCTTTGTGTTAAGTTCAAGCACACAGCAGACTGAGCTTGATTTAACACTCACACCTTTCAGTGGCATCTAAGGGACTTTCGTCTTCCAAGGTAACCACCCAAAGGAAGTAAAAGCAGTGGGGGTTTCTCATGCTCAGCTGCTGCTAAGGTGTGTTAGATGAATACAGTGCGTCCTTGTGGGACTTGCATAAGGCAAAGAGAGAAGCACCATTTGAGTTAGAGCCGACAGGACAGACATGACTCTCACAAAATGAGCATTTAACGTTTTTTTTTTTTTTTTACTCCAATTACCAATAGTCCCTGAACACAACACACTAGTCAATTTCAATAAGTAGCTCACAACTATGTTGGATAATGTCAAGAAAGTCTTTTTGTCGAGTCCCACTGAAGACCTTTGTTGCATCGCTCTCGACTGTTTCCAAAAATCAATCAATGACAAGAAAGTTAAAAACAGCAAAGCACAACTAATATTGGATTACTTGAAAATTTAAAAAATCTGATTCTGATATATCGGCCCTGGGAGTTTTCCATCGCAGCTGGCTGGACTCTTGATGAGAAATGGGGCATGACCAATGACCACACAGAAGATCTCTTTGTGACTTAATCATCAAATGTGTTGAACATGTTTTCATGCAGCTTGGCTTTTGCCAGATTTGTCAGTTATCCATTTCCTGTAAATGTTTTTGTGCCAGTTAAATTTGTGAAAAGAGCAGTTTTCTTATTGTATACATTCAATCCATTGTGAATTTGTCCCGTCCATTGATGATGGACTGTGCTGCATCCAGTCACATACTACAGTACAGTATGTAACACACTTGTTTTTATAGGCCACCAACACTATTTACAGCTCACAGGACTATTTTCCTGCCAGCGCAAAGCCGGCAGAGCTTCAAACGCACTCTTTTTGCAATTTCCCTTTGCGCACAAGTCTATGTTTTTTGTGCACTGATTTGTTTTTGCATTTTCCTGCCATGAATAAGGTGGTAAGAGAGGCACAGCTGAGGCCGTGTTTATGCCGATTAGGCAGTGTGGTGCGATTTTTGTGCTCGTTTTGACCCAAAATATTTTTAACATTAAAACCTATTCGGACCACCTTCTATCCCAAATGCAGGTATATTGCAAATTTCTACTCTGGAAAGCACAGCAACAAGCACCCCAATATTTTTAACAGCTACACTTAAAATTGACCATTAAATCAACAACTAATCTGCCAGAGTTCACTCTGAATAACTTACTATGAATCAGTTTCTGGCAGATGATCCCTATTGGTTCACAACATAAATGCAGTGATTACAATATATTTTTATTGAATTATTATAAAAACAATTAAACGTTTATAAAGTTACTTGCAAATAACCCCGAGACCCCCTGTATTTGGCACACTGGGCACAGATGTAATTTACTGTATGCTTTATTATTTGTGCTGGTTACAGGACCAGAGTCCTTCCATGCACTACAGCTGGTCAGTCATATTAGCGGACTACTGAGTGAATATTTATGTGCAGTGCTTCCACAATAAATATCTTTATCATCACAATTCAGGAACAGACCACATAACTGGCAGGAGAAATAGATACAGGGAAAGTATCCTTCTTCTTATATATTTCCTTGTCATGACAGTGACATCAGTCATAATCAGGTTTCCAGCAGTGCTTTAAAAGGGGAGGAACTGGTTTGACTGGCCATTACTAAAGCACGCCCCAATTCCAACTGCTCATAATACACTCCTCCCACTAATAATTTACTCTGTCTCTCTTCCTTGTTGTGTCAGGCTGCACCCAAAATGCGCTGGTGGTCAGCATAATTTCAAAATCTTGTTGAACACATCTATACACACCTGATCCTAGTACTTGCGTTCACCACTGGGCCCTATTTTCAGGTAAATACAGCCTATTCTTTCTCAGTATCTGAAAAGCTTAAAGAGCCCATGCCATGCGGTACATACACCATTGTTTACCTATCTATGGAGGAGAAATTCAATTAATTAATGCTGTCGTGGTTCGCTGTCTCCACTTTCAACCCAACACAAGCAACAGGAGTTGTGCGTGTTCACAAACTATCCTCTCATTTTAGGAACAG